TGGGGAGCCCATCTGGACTCTCAGTTTGTGCAGGGACGTTGGTCCGCCGCGGATCTGAGAAACAACATCAACTGGCTAGAACTCAGGGCTGTCCACCTAGCCTTGCAACACTTCAAATACAGAATCAGAGGCCGCCACGTTCTAGTCCTAACAGACAACGTAGCAGCCAAGGCGCACATCAATCGGCGGGGGGGGGGACCAGATCAAAAACCCTCATGACAGAGGCGCGACTGCTATTCAGCTGGGTAGAGCCCAATCTGAAGTCACTAAAAGTGGAACACATATCGGGGGTCAACAACCAGCAAGCGGACTTCCTAAGTCGCACCACAGTGGACCCTTTGGAGTGGGGGCTACACCTGGACTTGTTCCTAGACATCTCCCGCAAGTTCGGGTACCCGATCCTCGATCTGTTCGCATCGTCAGACAATGCCCAGCTCCCCAGATTTTACTTCAACCCGCGAGCAGAGGGGACAGACGCCCTAAGAACTCAGCGGCCTCAAGGTCTACTTTATGCCTTTCCCCCACTCCCACTCATACCGACGGTCATCCGCAAGCTGATACACGAGCGGGCAGAAGTGATCCTGGTAGCACCATATTGGCCACAGAGAGCGTGGTTCGCCGACCTGATGAACCTGTCTCAGTCGCCCCCGTGGAACATTCCCCCTCATCAAGTGTCCCTACACCAGGGAACCATCAGTCACCCGGAACCCCCATGGTTACAACTGACCATCTGGCACTTGAGCGCCGGACAATGGCACAGGAACTGTTCTCTCCTGGGACCATTACCATAATTCAAGCTTCACGCCGTCCAGCAACAAATCGCATTTATGACTCCACTTGGAAAAATTTTTGCCTTTGGTGCAGGGAATGGCAGTTTGACTTACACAAATTCTACATCCCTCAGATAGTAGATTACCTGTTGGAGGGACTAGACAGAGGTCTCGCCCCCGTGACCATCCGCAGGCAAGTGGCCGCCCTGCCCACCCTCCTCACCTGCACGGACTCGGTTCCTTAGCTCACCATCCCAGGATCCGCGCCTTTATCAAGGGCGCCTATAACACCTGACCTCCCGTAGTTCACGGGTACCCATCCTGGGAACTACCGCAAGTCCTTCATGCGCTCATTCGGTCACCATTTGAACCACTGGTGACCATTTCCTTGCGACACCTGTCGCTAAAGGTGGCATTCCTGATTGCCATCACATCGGCCAGATGAATTTCGGAACTGGCCGCACTGTCAGTCAGAAATGACCTATGCATTTTTCACAATGACAGGGTGGTCCTTAGGTTAGATGCCCTTCATACCGAAGGTGAATTCACTCTTTCACAGGACACAGGAAGTAATTCTCCCAAACTTCTGTCCAAATTCAACACATGACTGGGGGCGGCAATGGCATACATTGGGCATCCGGAGAGCTTTGTGGCATTATATAAAGCATACAGAACCCTTCCTCAAGTCGGAGGCCCTATTTGTGTCCTTCCAAACAGGCACCTTGGGGCGGAAAGTTTCCACCGGCACCATTGGAAGGTGGATCTGAAGCTGTATCACAGAAGCATACAAAGTATCGTCCCTGCTGCTCCCAAGTCATCTCACTGCCCATTCCACCCGAAGCACTGCAACTTCGGCGGCATGGGCTACCCAGGCGTCAATCGAGGAAATTTGCAGGGCCGCGACATGGTCCTCGCCTTCCCCATTTATACGCCACTACAAGATAGATCGCTTTGCATCGGCGGACGCCTCCTTTGGGAGGAGGGTCCTCCAGCAAGTTGTCTCAGAGATCAATCTGCTGGCCTAGGGACAGTGAGGCTTTGGTATGTCCCATTGGTGGATTATCCATCTCCTGTACTGGAGAAGGGGTGTTGGTCTTACCTGAACACCTTTTCTCAGTACGGAGATGGATAATCCACACCCATCCCAAGATCAGCAGGCTGCTAGTAGGGAGCTGAGAGCCAATACCTCGCCAATTTTCAGCCAATTCGCCCTCGTTAAGAATGGACTCCACAGGAAGTGGGGGCATGTCAAGTTTTGGCTACTTGGTCTCAAGAGCAGGCAGACAGAGAAAACCCATTGGTGGATTATCCATCTCCGTACTGAGAAAAGGCGTTCAGGTAAGACCAACGCCCCTTCTATTTTATTACACCGTAGGCCGCCCAGAGTCACTTTGGACAGCGAGTTGGGCAACATAGTAATTTAATCAATAAATATTTGTATGTGTCAAGTCCCCGTATGTGAAGAGGTGGTGTGGCTTTGTGCTTTAAAGCCCCATTGAGGTCCTGCTGCTGGCAAAGTGGGGAGCAGAGCAGTTTCGGCAAGCTGCCCCCCTTTACTTGGGCAAGCCAAGAAGGCTTCAGAGGCAGAACAGAGAAGGTCTGAAGGAGGCTGAGAAATGACTGAGCAGAAGGAGGGCTGCTGGCAGGTGTGTTTCCTTCAGTTGGGGTGAACTACTGTGGTATGGGGTAATAGATCTGTATCTTTGTGGTGTCTATCTTAGTGCAGAGAATATATTAAATTGGGAGCCTCTGAAAATGGAGAAGCTTTTGCTGGGGGAGAAGCAAAAGGAGAGAAGAAAGATGACAACTGATTGATTAGGGCTGAGAAAAGTAAGCTGATAGAGAGATATTTGGGGGGGGGCGTGATTTTGGCCTTTTGACACCCGTGTATTCATTAGTTGTATTCACGGGGAGGAAAGAGCTGCCCAATTTCACTTAACATTTTAGGGGCTAGCTGTTGTCTTCTTTCAAATCCCCCCCCCCCCCCACTGTATTTTGGTGTTCCTTTTCTCCATCCAAAACATGACTTTGAAAGAAGATCTTTGCCTGGATTCTGCTTCTACTGGATTACTGGGTACTCATTGCTATGCAGCCATTTTCTGCCCCAGAATTGCCCAGAAGGCGGGGAAAGAGAGATGCACGAAGCAGCTTTTGTGTGTCTGGCACATGTGAATTTGCACTAGTTAAAATTAGGCCGTTATGCAAGGCCCGTACTGAGATGAGCCTGGAGCATGGAAAAAAGCAGGCCTGGCACCCCCCTTCTGGTGCCTTCAAAGCACCGCCATTATGCCTTCCTCATGTGCCAAATATTTGTGCTCCGTCGGTTGCTGGAACAGCAGGCAAGGCCTCCTGGGGTGGTGTTCTTAAACTGCCAGTGGAAGGGTCAGCAGTCTCCTGTGGTGGACTACGGCCGTTGTTCTCAAGATCCAGATATTGTAAAATTGCCTGGTTCCTGGATGAAGCTCCGTAGCAGGGGGAGGCTAAAATCTTGTGAAATGTTTGCTTTTTTTTCTTTTTTTGTGGAGTTCAGTGGATGCCTTCCAGAGATACTGTAGGTGGATGCCCACGGAGATCCTGTAGTGAAATACAGGCTATGTGGTCATCTGGATTCAAAGGGAAAACCGTCATCGGAAGCACCCACGTTGCATCTGGCAGGACCTCCTGAAGTCCAAATTGCTTTCCCTTTTCCCTGTTTGCAAGCCTCTTATTGAAATGTTTTGGCGTCCTGTCTCCATCCTGATTTTATTTTAACTGGTTGTATCTTACTTCAAATTAAGGGCACTGAAGCTTGAGCAGGGGGCTGGACTGGATGACCTCCAAGGTCCATTCCAACATGGCCTTTGGGGGCTTCTTATGGGGGAGGGGTTTCTTTTCAGGATCTTTGTTGGGTTGGGGTGGGAGAAGTTCCTCCCTATCTGCCTTGTCTGTTCCCCATTGGGGCCCCTTCATTCCCCCCCAGGCATTCCGGGGCTGCTGCCTGCGCTGCTAATTAGGTTGGGTCCTGAGGAGAGCAGAGGAGGCCAGACCCTCCGCCCCCACCCGTGAATCTGCACAATGGAAAGAAAGGGGGCAGGAAGGCAGCCAGGCCCTGTGCTGGAGCTGCCCCCCCCCCCCAGTCCTTCTTGCCTGCTTTAAGAGAGAGCTTGTTAACCGGAGGGAGAGACACAAAAGGACCTGCTCTTTTTGACATGCCCTCCCGGGGACTGTCCTAATCCTTGGGGGGGGGGGGGCGAGAGAAAGACAGGGGGGTTGTGAGTGTGTGTCTTCCAGCACCATGAGTGCCCTGACAGCAGCAGGACAAGCAGAGTCTCCATAATGGGAGGGGGTCATCTTTCTCCCAATCTTGGGAGATCTTGCCCCCCCCTTTGGCCTTCCGAAAGAGCTAAGAACAAATGGGATGCCCATTCTGGAGGTGGCTTCTGGATGAGGAAAGAGCCACCTCTCCCCCCCCTCTACTTTGTGTTCTCTCCCCCCTCCTCCTCCTCCTCACCTTTCAACAGCATTTATTACTGTTGTTATTTTTTGCTTTATTATTTTAATATGTAGTACTTTTATTGTTTGTAAGCTGCTTAGAGTTGTCTCTGGACAAGATGGACAGCACATCAATGTAATAAAATAAATAAATTCATTCATAGTTTCATTCCATACAGTGTTAACCTTGTGAACTCTAAAGCTTTCTCTTTCTGTTAGGTATACAAGATGGTCAGTGATTAATATTTATGTGTTATTTATATGTAAGGATGAAGGTTTATACATATGTTGTATACAGCATGTTTAAGTGTGTGTTATGCATGTGTACGCTTTTGAAAGCAAGCAACTAAATTTCATTTTTAATGTGGGCCATTGTGCCCACAGTAAAAAATGACAATACAAATCTGTCTGTCTGGGCAGGATTGGTGCACCCTGGCAGCCCCCTGGGCAGAGGGGGAGGGTGGCGAGGATGAGGGGGAGGGGTAACTATCAATGGAACTCCTCTCCCACTTTCTGCCTCTTTGACCCCTTCAGTGTCTTAAAGAGGGAATGGCCACCATGTTGGGCCCCTCTGGATGAGAGCAAGGCTCCGTGGGGCAGCCTTCCCCAGATGGAGTCATGGCAGCCCTGGGGAGGGGGCAGGCCCTCTGGGCAGCCAGGCAAGGCCCACCCTTCTTCGCCCGGCCTCTTGTGCCGCTTGGCACAGTTGCCCCTCCTCGCTTCCCACAGCCCTGACCCCTTTTTCTTCTCTCCTTCTAGCCACGTCCAACGGGTCCCTCGAGGGCTTGGAGAACAGAGAAGGCGGCGTCTGCGAAACTCGCTCCATGAAGATCATCATGAAAGTGGGACAGGGTGAGTGGTGCAGGTGCCCTGGCTGCCTTCCAGGGCCAGTGTGGGTCCTCTGAGACCCCTGGGGCAAAGATGGGGAGACCTATAAGCTTTGTGTCGTGCTAGAAAATGGCATTTGGGGGCCCTGAATGATTCTGGTCCTTCCCAGAATGCCCAGGGACCTGGAAAGATTCAGTACAAGCCAACTGTGAAACTCCTTCGCATTTTAGACCTTTTTGGCCCAGAGTACCATCCGTAGCTGTCCTTTCCCCAAACTGCTCCTTCCAACTGGGCAGAGGCTCATCTTCCTTTCAGTCCTTGTGCCAAAGAGAGGAGCACCTGTTTGATAAGAGGGATTGGCTGCAGCTTCTCTTTGCATGGTGCAAAATCAAGATATTTTTTTTCCTCTTGCGAATTTAAATTGCCTTGATTCAGGAAGCTCAATAAAAACTCAAAAGGCAGCAGAGAACAATTGTAAAATACAAAGCACTGGAAAGTGAGACAGGAATAGGAGGAGGGGGAAATCTTGGAAATGCCCTTCAGTGCCATCATGTAAGGCAAGAGAGATGTTCTAGCTGGGAAGCCTCTGCAAGAGCAGAAGAAAGTCGGGGTGCAGAGCCTCAGTGGAAAAAGCTGCTCCTCAAAAACTGGTTCCAACATTGGAGCCTCAAAAGTAGCTTTGATTTCACTTTCAAGATTCATATAGCTAGCTTATGGCAAAAGAAATATTAACCCAGAGGAAGCTTAATAAAACACAGTGCATCATTAGAAGGAGGGGAAAGGAGTTAAACCCATTTAAAAGCGTCAGAATAAAGAGCGTCCTTGCACCCACTTCACTCCGCATGAAAGGAGATGCCAGAGAAAATCCTCTGAAGAAGATTTTTCCCCTGATGGTGTTAATGTCCAGGAGGCCCTTTTGCATGGCCTTCAGAAGTGATGTGGGCAAAAAAAAAAATGGTGTAGAGACTAGGAATATAATTTGTATTATTAAGCAAAACAAAAAGTAACCCAGATATCAAGCACTAATGAAATGTAACAATAGAAAACTAATTAGAAGAAGAAGAAGAAGTGATGTGGGCAGAAAGAGGCAGCCTTGCAAGGAAGGATACCAGGAGGCAGAATTCAGGGCTGAGGTTTCAGCAAGAAAGTCAGTACAGTCAAAAGCAGCATAAGAATGTAAGTTTGGTTAAGAAGATTTGCCAAAAACGAATCCAGTTGCATTGGCCGTATACATCCTGCTTGAATAATATGAAATACAACCATCTTAACTTCTCATAGGAGATCTGCAGTGATGTCATATTTCAGTCTGATAACAATTGTGGTAAGTCCAGCTAAGTAAAGGTACTGAAAACTGGGGTCCTGGACAACTTGCCACGGTCCACAGGCAACTTGCCATGGTCAACTCACTGTAGAACAACTTGCCGTGGGACCAGAGTTACACTAATATCGAAGAAATGGTGGAATAGATTCAGTAAAGAAAGGATGCCAAAAGAGGGACAAAATGAAATGTGAATGACAAAAACTAAAATAATGTTTTAATTATTTTAAATAATTAAACTGAATTGCTGAATTGTCTTGTGGTGAGTTGTCCTGCGGTGAGTTGGCCGTGGCAAGATGGCCATCATGGTGAGTAGGCTGTGCAAGTTGTCCCACTCCATGAAAACTGACACATTTGTTGAGGTTTTTGAGAAAGTCACTTCTTTATGGATTTTTAAATGTTGGTCAAAAGGTTGAGTTTTTTCTGGCCCCCTGTGATGGGTGCGGACTTGGTTTTGTTCAGAAAAGTTGATGTAGCCATTTTGCATCCCTTCTGGGCTGCAAAGGAAACCTAGCAAATGCTTTTAGGGATGGGCACCGTGATCTGTCAGGGTCAAGTGTTATTTCCTGGGTTGGGGAGCGCAGAGGGGAGATGGGAACATAGGAGCCTTTGGCTGCTCAGGGGAGCCCACAGGGCTTCTCGGACATGATTGGAGGGGAAGAAGTGATTGGGACATCCTGGAAAACAAGAGCCAAGTAGAGAAGAGGGGGAACTGCCAGCATTATCCGATGGTCCTTTTGAAGATAAGAAGGTAGCAGGCAAGGCCAAGGCTTGATTTCTTTCAGGACTGAATAGTAGCAGACACTCTTGGGATGAGGGATTTGGTGTGCTTGCTGACGATAGCTGATTGACAGCTATCTATTTTCAGCTTGATCTCTGCTGGCCTAGAACGAGATGGAAGGGTAGAAAGCTTTTCCTGGTCCCAAGCAAGCCCCTCAGCCTTTGGACGGTTGGGATCATAGGGCGGACCTGCTTGGCACACGCAGTGCCAGCCTTTTGGATCGTGGGAGGTCCTTGTGTCTCTTGGACAGAATGTTGTTGGCTGTTGAGAGGCCAGTCATTCCAGGAATCCAAAGACCGTCGTTTGTCAGTTGGCAAATAAGCTACAAAGTGTGTGGTTGCAATGTGTGTGTGTGTCCTACAGTGTGAGACATGGGCATCTCTGCTGTTTGGATTCCCATCGGAGAGGCCCAGAGATGTAGAGAGGAACGCCTGTGCCTGGGAGTGTTGCAGAAAGGCCAACCTCAGTTTTAATTGTTTGATGTTCTTGATGCTGGAAAGGAAGAGTCAAGTCTATGCAGCTGTGATTCTGGCAGTAAAATCCGAACAAAATGCAGAAGCTTTAATAGATCTGATGTCACAGGTTCCGACTAATGAAGCACTTCAAAGAACTTTCAGGCATGTTTCCTAAAGTTTTATTTGCAGAGCTACAATTTTGCCGGTCACCATGATGGACGGGTTGATGCCAGAATCTAATTTCCTGTCGCAGGCATCAACCTTTTCTTGCTAAACCCCTCCCTTGTCTTGCAGTCACAAGTCACATTATCCAATTAGTGTGAAGGTTTACTTCCTCTTTCTTTCCCGGGCTTTTTCTCCCCCCCCCCCACTCTAAGCTGTGTATTAACCCAGTAATTACCAGACAGTTTTGCATATTGTCAAAGCAAGAATATACAGTATTTGCAGCATTGACATCCGGCCCCCCTTACAAGAAGGACAGATCCTGTAGGTAAACAAAAGCATATGTTAAGGGTTATCTTTCGGTTTGCTGGGGTGTTTCACATGAAACCTTTCGATCAATCTGTCAGCGTTCACTTCACTAGATTTCACCCAGGTGGCTTCAGACAATGGGTATCCCTTCCATTGTACTAAGTACTGTAATTTCCCTCTAAAGATTCTGGAGTCAAGAATACGTTTCACTTCATAGTGGGTCTGCCCTGCCACTACGAGGGGTCCAGGTGCCTTCTTTGGAGGAGGTCTCAAAGTGGAGCCCCGATAAGGCTTCAACAAACTACAATGGAAAACTGGGTGAATTTTCCCTAACAGTTTAGGGAGTTTTAGTTGTACTGTGACTGGGTTGATGACCTTTACTATGAGGAAAGGCCCCAAGAATTTTGGTCCCAATTTCTTGCTGGGCAATTTGAGGCGTAGATATTTAGTTGACAGATAGACCTTTCCCCCAACTTGGAATGTTCTTTGGGGAGCCCTCTTTTTATCAGCCTGCTTTTTATAGGTTTCAAAAGTCTTTTTTAAAGCAGTTTTTGTGTTTTTCCAAACTTCTTCCCACCCTCTCACCCATCGATCAAGTGTCTGTGAAGCGGAGGGCAACTGAGGATATTCAGGTATTGGGTTGAATTCTTTCCCTGTGGCTACTTTGAAAGGTGTGTAGCCGGTGCTGCTGTGCACGGAATTATTGTACGCCACCTCCGCAAAAGGGAGGAGATCAGTCCAGTTCGTCTGTTGGTAAGAAACGTAGCACCTAAGATATTGCTCCACCATTTTGTTAGCGGCTTCAGCGGCCCCATTGGTGGCTGGATGAAAAGCAGATGATAACCCTTGAGATGATCCAATCAATGTAAGGAAATTTCTCCAAAACTTCGCTGTGAATTGCACCCCCCTGTCTGAGATTATTTGCTTAGGGGCACCATGCAGCCGGTAGATATGTTTCAGGAACAATTTGGCCAGGCGTTGGGCAGATGGGAGTCCTTTGCAGGCGATGAAATGAGCCTGTTTCGAGAACAGGTCTATCACAGTCCAGATGACAGTATTTCCCTTACTTTCAGGTAGGTCCACTATAAAGTCCATAGCTATTTCTTCCCAGGGTTGAGAAGGGTCTGCCACGGGTTGCAGTAACCCAGGAGTTTTCCCCGGGATTCTTTTCATTGTGGCACATACAGTACAACTTTTTACATAGTTTTCCACATCCTTTTTCAGCCCCGGCCACCAGAATTGCCGGCGGGTGAGGTGTAGGGTTTTCAAATATCCAAAGTGTCCAGCCTGCTTTACATCGTGGCTGTGGTTGAGAGCATTAAGACGGAGCGCTTCTGTCAAATATAACTTCCCCCCTTTGTAAGCCAAGCCATCCCTGCATGTTAGGGACGTTTGATTATCTTTGAACCATTGGTCAGTGAGGAGCTCTCGTTTTATTTTCTTCACTCCAGGGTCATCAGGATTGGGGACCCTGCGAGGTGTAAGTTGAGCGACAGTTTGTGGATTGGGAATAATTGCCTCGTTAATCTGCTCTCGTTCACTTTTGTACTGGGGTAACCGGGATAGCGCATCAGCTAGAAAGTTCTTTCCTCCTGGTATGTACTTTAGAGTGAAGTTGAAGCGGTTAAAGTACTGTGCCCACCGTACTTGCTTTGGTGACAATTTGCGAGGAGTTTTCAGTGCCTCTAGGTTCTTGTGATCCGTCCATACCTCAAATGGCACCTTGCTCCCTTCTAGATAGTGTTGCCAGTTCAATAGCGCCCACCTAATTGCGAAGGCCTCTTTTTCCCAGATTGCCCATCTTCTTTGAAAGCAGGCGGGACAGATTTGTAAAAGCCAAAGACTCTTAGATAGGGGGTAGTTGGACCTGTGATATGAAAATGTTTTGTCTTTCTTAACTGGAGAATAGAGGCAATAGGCAAATTCTGATGTTGTATGGGTTCTGTTTGGCAGGTCTTTTGGCCTTTTGCCTTCTTTTGAGCAGAAAAATAATTTATGT